TACTCACTGGTATATTTTGCTTAACAACTTTAGCTATTATTTCAGTAAAGAATTCCCAGGATTCGGTAAGATCCATAATATTCATGACACCCCACTCTACTTTTGATAGCTCCTCCCTAATTACTGCATAGTCAGCTTTAAAATAGTTTAGTCTTGGTTTTTCTCCAACTTTGTCTTCGGTGACATACAACATCTATCAATACGATCGAAGGTTACTAATCATCATTGTCAGATTAATTTATTTTTTTAATATAAGTATACATTTTTTTTTCAAATTTATTATCTGGGAATTATCTGAATATAAAAAAGAAATGACAATTTTTTTTTTTTTTTAATGTACTTGCATTCGAACCAATGAAAAGGTAAATAACTACAGGGATGCAAATTTTGACAGAAATTGACCAAGTCCGTTAAAATCAACATATCTAAAAAAAAAAAACGCAAGCAATTTTCGATAACGAACGTCCAACTTACAGAAAACATTCCCAGCTTTCCATTGATACATAGTTGAAGGATATACTCCAATTATTAAGATCACGGCGTGCTCTCACACTCCGAATTTCACCGGATATTTGTAGGTAGGACACTTAACTGATACCGGTAAACATCACAAAAAATCACTTGACTACCGCCTTCCGTCGATCTCCTGTGCACATAAAAATGACATACAGCGAAGGAACTTACCGAGCTGAGATTATCTACGACATCGATATGAATGTACATCCCATTGTTTCCGTATAATCACGCCAGAAAACTTTAGCGGGCTCACATTTGAACAAAAATTAGCCATCAGTTCAGTTCAGTCTTCAGAATCCTCCGATTATTTGGCGGAGCACCCAAGTAGGTCCTTGGTGAGTTAGTTGGATTGGCGAGGTCCTTTAGAATATAAAACACTGTAGCACAGGGAATTCACACTGGGGTTATATACGAATGGACGTATTTACATGTGTCCCTATCATCAGCCCATCATGAAACTCAGTCCATTCATGAGTAGTGGTAATCTGGATATACTAATGTCAATGGGAAAGGGGGAACATCATTGATTGCTCAGAGATTGAGTGCAGATAGGTAACGGATTCTCTTCAGATGTATGTTGGTAAGGAACTCCCTGGAGCAGAGTTCGATCCTGCGGACTATTTCTTCTCTGCGTTTATGATGCATCTGTTGATCAGTGAGATGGCGAGAACAGTAGAGGATAAGTTGAGTGAAGCTCTCAGGGTCTTTCAGTAGATGCTGTTTTGTCAATCCAGGGATCTCGATGAGTTTTCTTTTGCATCTGAGTCTAATATCCTCCAGTCTGCAGCATTCAGCTATGAAATGGCATCTTGATTCAGGTTGGGAGTCGCAGAGTTTACAGGTGGGGTCGATCTAAAATTGGTTGAATCTGGCTCGGTTTGACTGCAGAATGTACGTTCCAGTTAGAATCCTGGCTTTTAATTCTGCTCTTTGTACGTCCCTTTGTATTGGATTTGTCATTGAGTATAGATGGTGGGGTAATCCAACTTTCAGTGCATCCATCTTGGCCGGCCAAACACACTTTAAAACACGGCATCTGATTGGTGTGAAAAATAGCTCGACCAATCAGATGCCGTCTTTTAAAGTGTGTTTGGCCGGCCAAGATGGCTAATTTTTGTTCAAATGTGAGCCCGCTAAAGTTTTCTGGCGTGATTATACGGAAACAATGGGATGTACATTCATATCGATGTCGTAGATAATCTCATTTTTTTTAGATATGTTGATTTTAACGGACTTGGTCAATTTCTGTCAAAATTTGCATCCCTGTAGTTATTTACCTTTTCATTGGTTCGAATGCAAGTACATTAAAAAATAAATTAAAAAAAATGTCATTTCTTTTTTTTATTCAGATAATTCCCAGATAATAATTTTGAAAAAAAAATGTATACTTATATAAAAAAAATTAAAAAAATCTGACATAACAAAGCGTCAAGTGCCTGTGAACCACCTAAAGGTCTTGAAGAGAAGGTGACTCACTTTCACGTTGTGAATATCATTGCGTTTTTATGTGGCGGTTCTTCAGTTCAAAAATTCTAGGAAAAATGCAGAATTAAAAAAAATGATCTGATGAACAGCTTCGTAATACAAGGACCCCCAAAAATACAATCAACGCTTCAGTTGTCTCATCTATTTAAAATTCGTTTTATAAATAGAGTGGCGTTAATAAAATGTCCGCTGTTAATGTGATACCTTAACATCAGCATAACATCAATTCCATCTGACATCCATATCTGAACAATTAAAGCCAACAAAACCCCGACTGATAATGAAACGATTCGAACACAGATAAACTCTCTGTTAAACAGATATCAGCACGGCTCGTGCTTTTCCGGTGTAGAATTGAAACTTCCTTCTGGTCACATGCGTGACGACCATTAACAATGAGACACACACACACGTGTTATATATATAGACGTACACGTATCCTCGCCGCACACACACACGTGTTATATATATAGACGTACACGTATTCTCACCGCACACACGTGCACACACGTGTTATATATATAGACGTACACGTATCCTCGCCGCACACACACACGTGTTATATATATAGACGTACACGGATCCTCGCCGCACACACACACGTGTTATATATATACACGTACACGTATCCTCGCCGCACACACACACGTATTATATATATAGACGTACACGTATCCTCGCCGCACACACACCCGTGTTATATATATAGACGTACACGTATCCTCGCCGCACACACACGTGTTATATATATAGACGTACACGTGTCCTCGCCGCACACACATAATCATACACGCTACACATACAGTGATTTTCGTAAAACATAATATGTTAAGGCGAGTCCTTGACATTTTTTGTCAAAATTTTAATCAGTCCCATTAAGAGATAATGTGGGTTGTTAGAAAATTGTCGAGACCTACAGGGGAACCGTGATTCCATGAATCGAATATCTGAGTCCCAAAGATCACATCTATAAACACTCACGGACCACCCCTGCAGGTCGGGGATCGAGAAAGGTTACCCACTGCATGTATCATAAGAGGCGACTAATGAGGGGAACATTGTGAGTTCGAATCCTGGTTTTGTTAACACCTCGGTATTCTCTTGCTTTTTAATGTGTAGTCCTAAAGATAAGGGTGTTCTGGAACAACTTTAACATCTCGTCTTTCTGAGATGGTGATCCCGGCACGTGTCTGTAATGTTACACACTAAAACAATGGTGTAGTAAATATGTTCAAATGATAGCAGAAACGCTTTTAACGTCAACAGAACAATGACTTGTAGGTCGGTATGATACATATATAAACGAAAAGAAACACCACCCATAGGACATTGTACTGTATGATGGGTTAACTAGAACATAGGTCTGAAATGTGGGGCTCAAATAGTTCCAGGTTGTTAGTGCTTGGGCTGTAGTTATGGACGATTTATGATTGTGATCTCTAGGTATCTAAGACATTGAGGGTTGTAGTAGCTTTTAAGGATATGGGAGATTTAGGATTGTGAATTCTAGGTATCTAAGACATTGAGGGCTGTAGTAGCTTTTAAGGATATGGACGATTTAGGATTGTGATCTCTAGGTATCTAAGACATTGAGGGTTGTAGTAGCTTTTAAGGATATGGACGATTTAGGATTGTGATCTCTAGGTATCTAAGACATTGAGGGCTGTAGTAGCTTTTAAGGATATGGACGATTTAGGATTGTGATTCATGAGCTGTTTGTTTTTGTTTGTTTGGAGTTATATAAAGACGGAAACGGATTCAGGAGAGGAGGTCTGCATAATTGGTGGGTTTATGATGCACTTGAAAATGAACCGGAACTGTAGTTAAAAAAATCAAATCCTTAATCTGTCAATGATAAGTAGATGGGCTTGTACCTTTAAATTTACCATGGGAAGGTTAGTGTCGTTCTTATCCGCTATAACAAGAATTAGGAGTTTTAGGATGAGATAGGCTACCACAATACGTACAATTTATAGTATATTTGATAAATGTTGTTTAAAAATAAAATATACATGTATCACTGAAGAAGGATATATTTATGTTGTATAAGGTTCTCATATAACATTATCTTATCAAATTCGACCTCGAAGTTGGTGTCTGGTATATCAACTGATACAGGTCAGCGAACAGGAAAACTGGTATCAGGCTGCATTAAAGTATTCCATGTTTGATATATGAATACGTATATCATGTAACTTAGACCACTTTTGATGTATGAGTACGTATGTCATGTAAATTAGACTACTTTTGAAATAGTTGCCGTGTGACCTACCTCCTCTGGCCACAGGGGTTTGTAACAAATATATAAAAACGTTTTAAGAAACAACTGAAAAGCGTTCTTTTTCCAGTCACTTAACGTCAACATTTATTGTTGTTAATGCTTATATGTTTGTAACTATTTTATAAAATATACATGTTGTTATCATTTCTTGTATTGGATCTCAGGGTATAAGGAATTGAAATAAATGAAAAAAAACCCACAAAATAACACACAAACATTATGCATGTTCGTAAATGTTTTTATACAAGCCCATGTGGTCTAGCGTTACATATTTAAATGTTGAAATACCATACGATGATTCGGTATTTTCACAATAGATCAGATGGTGTGAATGTGTGTGAGAAATTACGCAGTATAGATTAACCCTTATAACTTTAACTAATATGTTGACATATTGGAACATAATAAATGTAAATATTTTGTCGATGTCGTAGCGTTCCGGTGCGCTGGCGCCAAAAATCAATCTTGACTACAAATTTTGCAATTTTGTACAGAGTGAAATTACATGTAGCCTTAATGTTATGCAATGGGATTTGATTTCAAACGATTATTTTTCCACGTCGTCATCCAGATGTTCATAAGGTGGTATCTATTTAATCAGTAAAATGTGTTAAAATATCAATTAAACAATTAATTCTGACTGATTAGTTGACCTTTACTCCGTGCTGTACGAGTTGACACATATAGATCCCCTGGTGGCGCTAGGCCCCTACTGTGACCACTGTATGCACGCGTCCTGTGTGTGTCACTGACTCGTAAAAATACGAGCTCAGTGATTCGTCTTTCCTAGTCTCGCAGCACAGGTATGCAGGTAAACCTCGTTCACTGCATGGACCGGCCGTGGGATACGGTCCAGTGACGTCTCAACACCTATATACGGTCCACACAGGTTAATATACCATTGTCTATTGCAGTAGTGATAACATCAGCGATTGCACGGTATTAACGCAGTGGTGATAACAACCGAATGCGGAGTTGATGACGAAGTGGCTTGAATACTGTCTGTATACTTATAGTCCATCATTTACTGCTGTGTCGGGACTCTGTGAATTGACTTCAGCCACTGATTGGAATATTTCATAATGACTTGGACAGAAGCTCATGTGTGTTTAAGCTGCCTGCTAAGCCTGGCTTTCCGTGAGTACACACAACACATTGTCTATGTTGTTAGTATACATACATGTATATAGCTTGTATAGGGCTGTCCAACTGGAGTGGCGAATACACATTTCCCTCTTAAAGTATTTGTGAACTTTTGAGTGGGGGCACAAGGCAAGTAAACGTTATTACAAACCACGGATTGGATAGATCCCAGTCCGTGCACATAAATATTCAATTCAATAAAATTGTATTGTTCTGTTTTAGTCACATTATAACGATGAATAAAATAACATTAAAATCAATGTAACATATGTAGAAATGCCAAATTTCGTAGAAACCGGTTTTTGTAGATAATTGACAAATAATTGATAATCAAGCTTACGTGTGGAACATATAGGTGTGATATTATAAACTGTCGTACACCCGTGTACAGTTGAGTAGTATGTTATAACTAATCAAAATTCAATATTTTATAACTATGTTGTAATTATAAAAGTTATGACAAGTAACAAGAGAGTAATTGTATGGCAAGTAATGATAACCGGTACACGTGACGTGATTGTCAATCCTCCATTTATACACTGTGAGCCTGGTCTCCTCAATACCACAGAATTATATAAGGACCTAGGTCCGTGTTCATACTAGTGAAATCACAATTTTATAAATAAACAAGAATCCTGTATATGTCGAGCCTTAAAGGATGTGATGGATCGTTATTATTATATAGTAATGAGGTACAAAATTCCAATTTGTTGGTCTAGAAGACATTCAATGGGAAATAACTTTCCTCTTTAACCAGGTCCAGTACACTCTGCCGATTGAGCTATATAGCTGTAAAGACCTGAAATAGGTCTTTTGAGCTACATGTATTTTCATTTGATTTTCTCTTTTAAGGAAAACGAAACAAAGTCGCTTTTAAAAGAAGATTTATCATTAGGTTGATAAACAAAAGACATTTCATATAAGTATTACTTTTAAAAAATAATGATGTAAAAAAATCGGAAATTTTACATTGATGAAAAATGAAAATAAACATCTAAATGTATCATTTTTTCAACATAACCATAAACTTTAATGTTTCGTGCGGCTTTGCTTTAATTTAATGAAAATTGAAATCTGAGATATTTTTTTTAGCTCAATACAGCTATAACTTATAGGTGAATACAGTTACTACACACTACACACACATAGAACAAGAACGCGCATCCAACAAGTAGCAATACACACTAACAATCTCATCCCGGCAGACACCAGAACACGTCAAGGACACGACCTCAGTTACAGAGATATCTTACACATCCAAAGACACATACAGACACTCATTCTTTTCATACACCATAATACAGTGGAACTTCCTACCCAAAACAATAATCCAATCAGAAACACCAGCAGAATTCAGGACATGCACCACATATAACATAATCGAACATATACAAAACCTACAACATAACTTCACTGTTTTTAACCTGTTTTTATCATATAGCAAATAATAAAAATATAATAAAAAAAATCACTGTACATAATAATTAACGCACTACAGCACAAGACCGACTTCCGTAATCGTCGATATCGACGGAGGAAGGCATCTTCATAGCTATATAGCTCAATCGGCAGAGTGTACTGGAACTATTAACGAAAGGTTTCGAGGTCTGTGTACTTGCCATGCGTCCAGGTGCCAATGCAATCTCGTGTTCACGTACACTTAATTTTGGGGTATAAAGGACTTTTAATTGATATCATAGTTTCATCGGGAGGGAGAAGTGAAGGAAAGATATGTTGTTATCGCGGCACTGGCAGTCATCTTATGTAACCTAAATAATGTCACGTACCGGCTGCCTTCATCCAGTCAGGTTATACAGTTGATATTTACTGAATGTCCTCGGCGTATACTGAATGGCAATGTCCTCGGCGTAGTCATATAACCTGTGGGATAATATCTCGGTATACAATCAAGAACTGGAAATATAAAAATTGTTCTTTACACTAAACGTCATTGTATGCCCACATACAAACATATGGGTCATACAAATATGATAAAAATCGTAATCCAACAGGTGTCAGAGCAAATGTATCATACTTGTTAAGTAACAACTACAAAAGAATGTCCTAAATAAGTGTTTATAATATGGAAGTTCTTTGTGTAGAACTGCATCTCATTATTGAAACATAATTTCCGTATGCATGCACTTGTGTTCATTTAAATTTCTGCATATGATTACAGGCCGTACACATATATGTATGCCGACTACATGGCTGAGTGTCCGGTAAAGGGACAACTGTATATTTTATTACACGTCAGAGTGTCCTGTAGAGGAAACAGTTCTATATCAAATTACATGGAATAGCCTTTATATATAATTACATGTCGTAAGGGACGGGAGGAATAGCCTATATAGCTAATCACATTTAGGTGAGGGCCATGTTACACAGGGGAGGGAGCTAATCTGTCGTTACTTCTCGCAACCATATGTTACACTGGGGAGTAAATTAATCTGTCGTAACTTCTTACCATCTTGTTACACGGGGATGGGAGTAAATCTGTCGTAACTTGTCATAACCACGTTACAAAAGGGAGGGAGTGAACCTGTCGTAATTACTCACAACCATGTTACACAAGGGAGGGAGTGAACCTGTCGTAATTACTCACAACCATGTAACACAGGGTGGGGAGATGCTGATGATTTTACTTGTGTGAATTTCTGCATCATAATAAATGTAACGTTCTTCTGAGTACAAGATACAAGAAACCTTTTTTTGTCGTGAAACATTAGCTCTGAAGAGCTATTCCTACGACAGAAAACACGTGATTTGTGTTAGGATTTGTAAATGGTGATATAAATATTACTTATATCATGTCAGAAGTACATCTCAAACCTGTGATCCATCATCGACACCTGGCCTACATGGTTGAAATAATCCAGTATCCTCCGTAGGTGGATTGTGTAATAATCCATGACAAATGTTTTCAACAACAGTGAAGATATAGTTTTAATATTAATTATATAATTTGTTCACTGTAATTTGAACTTAAAAACTGTTATAACGACACGTGGGACCGGGACGTCGACCGATAAGCATATCCGGGTCCAACTTTACGATCCCAATATTTACAGGGGCCGTTATCGGTAATTGTTTATTTACCACGGTGAGAGATGTTTAACCCTATTTGATTTACTTGGGGTCTCACGTCATACATATGTAGTTGATTAGATGACAATGCCTAGACAGTTAAACGCTTGGTTGACGTGGTACTGAACTCACGGCATGATTGATTGGCCGGACTAGTAAAACAAAGAAAGAAAAAAATGATGATAACGAAAACTACAATTATAATATAACCGACACTTTTTATATAACTGCCATTTGGGTCTACCTTTATAGCCAAACAGCTCAACGCTTCTCAACATGTGAGCTGCTAAATATTTACCCTTACCTAGGTAATATTTACGTTGAACTCCCAAATATGTACTGTGAACCCAAATATGTACTGTGAAATATGAACTGTGAACCCAAATATGTACTGTGAACTTCTTAATATTTACAGTTAACTGAATATTTACTGTGGAATACCCAATTCGTCATTGTGCCTACTGGTTAAAATAGAAATGTGACGTGTTTCTGAATTCTACTAGTTTTTATTGCTAACATTGAAATGTGAATAAATATAAGCAGTGCTTTGCGTCACCGGGCGGTCACTGGTGGTTGCTGATCGAATTGGTCAGTGGTTAAGTGTTTTCTTTGTTCTGAAATTAGTCATTCACTGTTGCCCTTGATATCAAGTAGCGTCTCTTAAGTATCTACAACTAGAAAGTGAACTTCTGACAACTGTACGGATCACCATGCTTGGGATTGTCTCGGTCATAATATCGTCTGTCGAGGAGGACGAACCCGTGTGTCACAGCTGCCTAAAAATGACGAAGTCCCTTAAGTGATCAAGTTATTCATTTCCGTACGTTTTAGCAACAAGTGGAACTACATAATTACTCGTGCCCTACACAACACATACAATTAAATAGTAACATATAGTATTAATACAAGTACACATAAATAGTATGTTTAACAAGAGGCCCAATGGGCCTGCATCGCTCACCTGGTATAAATCTCACACTTGCAACCTTAAAAGTGATCTAAAATAAAGCTACAGGCAAAATATCAGTATTTATGATTAAAGTCATTCAAAAGAACCTGTTAAAAGATTTTAAAACATTTCACCCCTTGAAAGTCGAACTAAGTCATTATGTTGAACAAATTGTATAGCCTTTCATCTCAGTATGCAACTTGCAAAGTATCAACTTCCTGGGACCCATGGTTATTCAGAAGAGGTCGTTTAAAGATTTTAAACAAATTTGACCCCTGTGACCTTGAATATAAGTCAAAGTCATTCACTTTAACAAACATAGTAGTCCTTGATCTGACTAAATATCAACAACCTGAGCCTTTTGGTTATTCAGAACAAGTTGTTTAAATATTTTGAACATATTTGCTCCTTGTGACCTTGAATATGATTCAAGGTCATACATTTAAACAAACTTTGTAGCCCTTCATCTCAGCATGCTACTGGCCAAATACCATCACCCTGTGCATTTTGGTTATTCAGAAGAAGTTATTTAATGTTTTTCAAATATTTGACCCCTGTGACCTTGAATATAGGTGAAGGTCATTCAAAACAAACTTGATAGCCCTTTACCCCAGCATGCTACTGGCCAAATATCATCACCCTGTGCATTTTGGTTATTCAGAAGAAGTTGTTTAATGTTTTAAACATATTTGACCCTTGTGACCTTGAATATAAGTGAAGGTCATTCATTCGAACAAACTTGATAGCCCTTTACCCCAGCATGCTACTGGCCAAATATCATTACCCTGTGCATTATGATTATTCAGAAGAAGTTGTTTAAAGTTTTTAACATATTTGACCCCTGTGACCTTGAATATAGGTGAAGGTCATTCATTTGAACAAACTTTGTAGCCCTTCATCTCAGCATGCTACTGGCCAAATATCATCACCCTGGGCATCTTGGTTATTCAGAAGAAGT